TTCTTATGGTTTAAAATCGTTACAGGATCCTATGGAAATAAAGGTGATGTAAAATATCCAGTTTTGAGGTGAATGCAGAAAATCGAAACGGAATGGAAAAATGAATTTAAAATAATGTAAAATGATACGTAAGTAGTATAACACTACATTTTCCCCCCGACCCTGGAAAATTTTTGACTCAGCAAAAATTTTGATATATACATTCTAAAATAAACCATAAAAACACAGCTTTGTAGAAACAGACATCACCAGGCAAAATCAGATATACCATCTCTTACATTCATCATCTGCCATTCAGGTAAGGGTGGAGTTCACATTCAATGACTACCACTCTAAAAGTGTGTTTTCAAAACGACATTAAGGCTTATTTAAGGAGTAGTCATCCGCTCCTGCGTGGAAAAAAAAAATAAATTAGTCAAAGAAACACCACTCTTAAAAGTGTGTTTTCGAAAGGACATTCAGGCTTATTTAAGGAGTTGTCATCCGCTCCTGCGTGAAGATAAAGATAAAGGAATCAATCTTAAGCAAGCTTTAGTCGCTATGACTTAAGTAAAGATAAAGAACGGCCAGAGCGGTAGGGCTCAAAGCCAGAGATCAGCAACATCACTAGCGAGATGTCTGAAATAATAAGAAGTGAAGATTAACCTACCAAACAAACAAACAAATTAAAAGAAATAATAACAAGGTGAAAATGATGGTGATATTTATACATATATACAAATTAAATGTGATATTTATACATATATACAAATTAGCAGTTAATAAATGTTTAGATATTTATACATATATACAAATTAACAGTTAGTAAATGCTTAGAAAAGTTATGAATCGTCTCGCTTCAGCTTTGAAAAACAATTTTATATAAAGTGTAAAGTTCAAAGTTAAGTTTAAGAAATAAAGATTTAATTGAAAAGTTATACCTCTTTAAGTTACCTAGAATAAAAATATTAGAGTGATGAATGTAAGTGTTGTGTGAAATGTAGGTCTAAATATAATCCAGATAAGTTGAAACACTAGAAGAAGTGTTGTTTTAGAATTTGGAAGGTTATCTACAATAAAAATATTAAAGTGATGAATGTAAGTGTTGTGTGAAATGTAGGTCTAAATATAATCCAGATAAGTTGAAACACTAGATGAAGTGTTGTTTTAGAATTTGGAAGGTATGAAAAGGATGAATAAATGAATGATGAATAATGAGTTAAGAACGAAAGGGAGAGCAATTAAATCAAAAGGGAATGGACAAGGCGCAGTAAAGGTGAAGAATTAAGAGAGAAAGAGGACTTTTACGTTGGGCGCGAAATGTCGTGAAGCGACAATTAAAAAAAAAATAGAACCTAACCTAAGTACAACAAAACAACAAAAGTAGAGCCAAAAAAACAATATATTTAAATTTATAAAAGGTATTTACAATTTTATAAAAAAAATGATGTGAGGATGATGATGGATGAAGTGAGAATACAATTAGATTATAAAAAAAATAAAGGTGAGAGAATAGGGGAATATAGCGTTGAAGTGGGTCTAAAAGTCGAAGCGACACACGTTGCGTTTGTAGAAGTAGGTTTCTTAGCAGCGACGGCACGCAGCGCCTGAAGCCAGCACACGCCGTTTGCGCTTGTAGAAGTAGGTTTCTTAGCAGCGACGGCGCGCAGCGCCTGGAGCCAGTACACGCAGCGTCCGGAGCTGGCGCACGTAGCGCCTGGAGAAGGGGCGCGCAACGCTTAGAGCCAGCAGTTGCAGCGCCCAAAGGTAGCGCCGGCGGTAGGTGCACTCGGCGCCTGGAGTAAGTAGTAGTAGTGCCCAGAGTAGTGTGGCCCCCGCGCTTGTAGTAGACTCGAAGCGACTTCCGAGGTAGATGGAGGCTTGTAGGATACCGGAGTGGCGCGGCCCGAGTTTGAAGAAGGCTTCGCCGAAGACTTCACTTGTAAATGGAGGCTTGCAGGATCCCGGGGCAGTGCGGCCCCGGGATAAGGCCTTTAGGAGATACTTCCAATTCGCGAACTGAAGCGAGACTGCCTTTCTTCACCGATTGTTCGGCTTTTATACCTTTCTAGAGAGAACGGAAAAATTATTTAAATTATACGCAAATTTTTTGTAAATGGTCAAGAGAAAAGAGGATTTATTTGGAATTATCGAAATAGGAATAACAGATCGGTAGCAAATTTGAATATAATTACCATGGAAACAATATAAATAAGAAAGACAAAACATGTCAAATTTTTGTTTTTGGTTTATAATAAGAAAACGGTAAGATTTAAGTGGAAAATGAGATATTATTGATATAGGAAAAAAGGTAGCGCAGCTGCCCACACTAAGCCCAAGATTGTAGAGTTACGGAAAACTAGCTAAAAGATCGAAAAAAGGTAGACTCCATTGACACCAATTTAAAAGTGCTGATAATGTGAAAATACGAAGTAGAAATGATTTGTTATTGTGTTCTTATGGTTTAAAATCGTTACAGGATCCTATGGAAATAAAGGTGATGTAAAATATCCAGTTTTGAGGTGAATGCAGAAAATCGAAACGGAATGGAAAAATGAATTTAAAATAATGTAAAATGATACGTAAGTAGTATAACACTACAATAAATACTGACAAGTGTCTTAGCTCGAAATCCTGCGCCCCCTTTTTTCAAAAGAGGGTCGCTTCCGATTCGGCAGAAAGGCCTCATAAGCCAATGCCAGTCTCACAGGTGGTGTTTAGTGGGTAGGTACTTAGGCTAGGTTAGGTTAGTCGCAGTGAGTCCTACATAACCACGACAGCCGGCTGTCGTGGTATGCTTAGAGCATTCACCACCTCCCTCTCGTTTCCGGGGGTAGCCCTTTTCAATTGCTTCTGGGCGCAAAAAAAAATCTCGAAAGTAAAGTCTGAGCAAAGTTAGAGTACGGTCTATAGATCTCAGCCTTATTTGTGCAGCATATGCTGTGAGAAAAATTAGGAGTCTCACAAATGTTGAGATAGCTAGATTAGTTTATTTTAGTTACTTTCATAGTAACTAAAATAAGGATCGTGATGTCTTAAGGAATTTTGCTATGGGGTAATGCGACTGACATCGAAACTATATTTGTTTTGCAAAAGAGGGCCGTACGGGCAATTTATAACTTAAATTGTAATAAGTCCCTTAGAAATTTTAAGAAATAAACATATTTACTTTGGCATCACAATATATTTATGAAAATGTAATGTATGTACATAAACACTTAAATAGCTTTGATAAGAATAAAGATGTTCATACTTTAAACACATAAGCTTGCAATACAATATATATGACAATTAAGGTATTTATAATACTGTCAAATAATTCTATTTCTTTTTAATCATTTGTATTTATTCAATGATGTAATTCAGTTTTTATTCCTTACAAAATAATCAATGCATGTTGTGATTACCCATAAAAAGAAATACAATTATAATGTGTTGAATTTGTTATGAAAATGATCTTTGTATTACTATTGTAATTTCTGTTGATAATCCTAATAAATAAATACCAGTTACTAGACTCCACAGAATTAGTAATTATTTATGGGGCAATGTATACTCACAAGTTTTTTTTTTCACACTTTTGCAACAAAATCCCAAAAAATGCACAAAATATGTCAATAAATAAGTTTAAATGTTTTATTAAAGAAAAATTGTACAAAAAGGGTTATATCAAAGAATACATAAGTGAAAAAAACCTCTGGGAATGAGGTGATCGCCACCATGCTGTTTCTATTAAAACTCATTTAAAATTTGTACAAACAAAAAAAACAAAATTATTATAAAGTGTGTGTGTTATGTGTTTAAAAAAGTCTCGCTGGGTTTCTTGTTGATTCTTCCCAAGACAGAGGTATTTTTCGAAACAGTAGTAAATAAAAAAAGGTGTTTTAATAAGTATTATGTAATAATCTATATTGAATAAAATTATTCTATTCTAGAACTTTCGTATCAATATTATTTACATTTTTTGCGTCGACATTGTCCATGAATATATTTGCTCCACTCACATATTCACATCACACAATTACGACACGAAATGGGACGATGGAATATTTTATGCCACCAGCCACCACATGTAAAATATGAGCATACTGGATGCAAATCGTCGTGGTTTGTGGGCTAGGGCACCGCAATTAATTAATTTCTACCGCATTATCACAGTACATAGTTAAAAAATCACCGTGTAGTGACGGCGTAAGAATATACACTACCCCATATCATCCTTTGGGTGTTGTATGAGGCGGCAGAGGGCAATGAAACAAGAGCTGGGCAGCAGTATCTTCCTGCTAATAATTGAAAATAATAAAAAGCAGTTGCCAACCTACCTTCCAAGTGTGACAACTATGGCGAACATCCCTCTATGAGGCAATCTATTGAGAAGGCCTATATTTGGCAGTGGACTTTTGATAAACTGTAATGATAATGATTATAATTAAAAAAAATTAAAGATAAATCATAATGTGATGTGAGAAGTCTTTATTCAGTTATTAGGTACCTTATTAGGTATACAACCTATACTTTTATAGATTGAAAAAATGCTGTCTGAGACATTGATGCTGATCAACCTTGTACCTTGCTCAGCAGAATCTATATCATAAAAAAAAGTTTTTACAGATCAATAGGAATCTGAAAGAATTCTTATAGTTCCAATTTAAATTAGTAGCCTTATAACTTACTGTCAAATATTTCTCTATCCCCTTCTGTTATCTTCATCGGTGCAGAAAACAAAAAATCTCCAATCAAATTGTGTATGTAGTCTTCACATAAACGTAAGTAATCATTAAGCTAAGAATTCTTGTCAACTTTTCTAATTCCAATAGCATGGCTTACAGAATGGCAAGTAAAGATACAGCATAATCAAACATAATAATATAATATATATACAAAAGAGAAATGAGGTCAATATTTTAAATATGCTTTCTCATTATAATAAAGATAATTGGTCATAATACATAACATGTATTTTACATTATAGTAATATGTTAATTTTTTACTATTTATTATTTTACAAATTAAATACATACTTAATACCTTCTAAATTGTTTCTTAAACCTTTCATAGTGATAATCATCTGTTGCTCTTTCACCTTTAGCTTTCTTTACAATTTTGTCCACACTAGCATCTATCATATTAGTTTCTGTCTTTGAAACTTCTACTTTTTCTACTTTCCTTTTTTTGGTATTATCACTGTCTATATTGAACCTATTATGTTGCACAAAATTCACAGCCATGTTAGTTGGCACAAACTGTGATGGGCCATCTTTTTTGTTGTGTCTCTCCCATAAAAGTTTCATTTTGGCTTCCTCTGTAGCTTCAATGTTCTTTATTTTAGCATCGATACCTAAATCAACTTCTGGGATACCACTGAGCATTTGATTTGATAACATCTCCTCAGATCTGTGCATTGATGAGACTCTCAAGTGTTCAGGTAGGGAAAGCAATGCTGCTTCTTCAGGGGATAGGTATTTTAGTGAATCACTGTTCTCGGATTCTTTCTTGTCTTCATTGATGCCCTCTGCAAAGGATTTAAATGATTATTAGATTTCATCTGAATATTAAAATTAAAATTTATATTATACAGTTTGAAAACTTTAAAACCTAAGAGCTCATACAAATACCCATCTCAACAGAGTGAATGCGACTTTGCAATCAGTCATTCAGTGATTGCCAAAACAGGATGAAACAAATGCATATAGTTTAAGTCCAACTGAGATGGATGACCACGTCTTTTGTGGAATAACATTAAAGGATGTGCTAAAATTATTTTAGTATAATATTTCATTAATTATAGTAAATTAAAAAAAATGTAGAGTGACAACAGTTGTTAGCACATATCTTATTTTGGCCCTAAAATCTGCAAATGATTGAGAACAGAACAGTGACGAATTATCCTAAAGGCAAACTAGGCACGTGCCTAGGGGCGCAAGGTAACAAAGAGGCGCGCGGGGAAAAAAATTCCATAGTACACACAAATGCGGTGATCAAAAATCCACGTAAATCTCACCGTAGTGGACCGCCAGCCATCGAGATGATGAGGATGGAATTTCGAGTTCTGTTGCAGTGTTAGATGGTGGAATTCAGCAGCTGGAATTAATCCGAAAAATGCCTCTGAACACTACTAGTGGTAGAATATGCATAGAAATGCAATATCTCTTCACAAGGCCGATCGGAAAGAACTTGATCGTCGTTGACTCGGGTTGCTCTCCGTCGAACACGGTACTGTACGTCTCTCTCGAAACGTCGACGCCAAGTATTTTGATGCAGGTTGAAGCAACTAGGGGAGTGCCCTGAAATTGGGGAAACACCAACAAAGGTGTTTTTTTTTTAGCAAACTTATGTCTTTTAGAGGTTAAACTCGACTAGTACGGCCGGTGCATCGCCAGTGCTGTCGCCTGCATAACAATGAATGTTACTAGTATGCAACATATCATTGATATGCAAAATGGATAGGACAGGCGATAGCACGCAACCTTGTGGAACACCGGCATTCATAGGCTTGGATTCAAAATGATGTGCATGCAGATCATGAACCGTCGACTACGACCTTGATACTCTGATCTGTAAGAAAAGTGACCCCATTGCATAATTTCTTTGTAAGCCCATATTAGCTTTGAAAGAAGCACTTTATGCCAAATCCAATCGATGGCCTTTGCTATGTTCAAATTAACCACCAGGGACTTCCACTTGGTTTCAACTGCCTCCACCCATCGGTGAGTCAGGTAGACAAGAAGATCACCAGCTGAGCGACCTCGACGGAAACCGTATTAACGGTCACTAATCAGCTGATGCTCTTTAAGGTAGCTCATGATCTGGCAGTTAAGAATGGATTAGATTATTTTGGAGAACATGGTAATGGCGATATGCCTGTAGTTGGACAGTTCCGAACGGTCACCTTTTTTAAGATTTTTAATTTATTAGGTGCGCTAAGGCTGTCTTCAATGAGCTTGAAACGACACCTAAAGAATAAGATAACCAGAAAAGACGAGTAAGAACCGGTGCTAACTCTGGAGCACATGTTTTAAGCACAATTGGGAGGATTCCATCAGGCCCACTCCACTTATGGATGACCAGGAACAGTAGTGCTTTGCGCACTGATCACTGTGTGAACCGAACATCCTGCTTTGAGCATTCACACTGCGAGGAGGTCGGCGGTAGATACCCCGGTCGTCGGAAATAGAGTTGGATGCAAAAAGAGAACCTAAAAGATGGGAACCTAAGTCTTTATACTTTGTGACGTGGGCCTGTGCTGCGTAGAAATGTAAATGATGGCTTACATAAATTCTCTTGGCGAGAGAACAGAATGAACGTGTTCCAGAGGGAAGGCGAACTAGTTTCTCGCAAATTCTCTCAATGTGCGCCGACTTTGCCTATGATAACTAGGCTGTGATAACTCTTTTGAAGGACCTGGAGGCAGAGTTTTACTTCTTTCCGAGTAGGCTAACTTTTGCATCCCAGGACACTGATGCGTCGGCCCATGTCTTGTAACACTCCTGCTCTTACCGCGACGCAATTCTGCAGGAACAACTAAACCAAAGCTAGGATCTGAGGTCGATAGGCACTACAGATGACGGGATGAAAATTTCCATCTCCTGAAGCACCACATCGGCGACAGACTCAGCAACAATATTTAAATCATCCAACGAAGAAGAGAAGAGAGAAAAGAAGCAAATCTGCCCCCCAAGGGTAAGATAAGCATAAAAAACCCACATTCCATCCCAATCCGCTGACATATAATGCCACACAGGGTGATAGCCTACAGATCAGGCAGTGACCTGAAGAGCCAAGGGGGGCATAGGCGGAGACCTGATATCTGTTCAAATGAGTTTAGCAGAAGGTCCAACACGGAGGTGCATTATCCTCCACATCTGGAATAGACGCGTGGGCGAAATTACCAGAAACATCAGACCATATGCCAATACAAAGTCATAAACAGATCTCCCCGCAAGATCGGTAATACAAGAACTGAGCCATTAAGGGTGGCGGACATTGAAATTGCCAACGAACTCGATTTCTGTCGGTGGAATCAGTTATAGCATGGAATCTGTAGCCATTCGGACGTGGTCAAAGAGTTGGTCTGTCTTGGCATTACCGTTGTGGAACCTATAAAGGCATCCATAGACGCAGGGGTGATTGTCGTCATCTATGCGTAGCCATAAGATGGACAGGTCCCTGCCTTCAAAAATACTTAGGCGTCGAGAACAGATATCCTATCTGACGTACACACAAACTCCAGCCTAAGGCAGAAAGGAGTGTTGCAGTTTGTAATCTGGGTAAGATAAATAAGATGTATCAGCCAAAGAGAACTGCATCTCCGTGAGCAAGTGCAAGGCCGGCTTGACCGTCTTGATGGTAGCAGATAGTGTTAAGGTTTGAATATAGTCCCCTTATGTTGCAGAAATCCACAGCGAGCACAGCATGGGGTGCCGTAGTGATTTTGTTCTATTTGCTTTATGTAGAATGTGTTACAGAGCCCCTCAAGAATACATTAGGGATTCCACAGGATTATCAATGCTGTTACCCTCTTGGGGTAGATTTTATTTAACATGGCTTTCACATTTTTTTCCACTGTACTTTATTATAAATTATAACAATTTCTTTTTATTTCTTTTTATAGGAAAGGATGAAAAACGAGCACACAGTTCACCTGATGGTAAGTGGTTGCTGTGGCCCATAGACATCTATATCTATCTTCGATTAAGAATCAAAATGCAGATGCGTTGTCACCCGTGTGGACTAAGATGGCATGCCTCGTTTCCAGTAAAAAGGGTCTCTGGTTCTCTACATTCACCTTATGAATCAAAGCAGCGTTAAGCTGCTATTTTATGCTGGTATTCTGTGAGAGCGTGGTCCTTCCCCGGTTGAGCCGACCCATTCGTGCAACAACCATAATATAGCTGCAGCATGGCTCTTTTAGCCGGGATGGAAGATGTGATTTAGATGTGGACAGGCGTGTCGCTGCCGGGAACAAAGTCAATGGTGCCCTGACTGCGTTAGTCAAAAGGCAAGGCGTAGCGAAGAGTGCACGCCTTGCAATACATAACGCAGTGTTGGTACCGACTTTGTTATATGGCAGCGAAACCTGGGTATGCCAGAAGAAGCATAAAAGTAAGTTGAATGCAGTGGAGATGCGATCTCTTCGTAAAATGTGCGGCGTTACCATGGCCGACCGAAAGCAAAACGAAGAGATTCGCAATATGGCAGGTTTGAAAGATGACCTTATCACAAAAATTGATAAGGGCGTGCTTCGGTGGTTTGGGCACGTTGAGCGAATGAGTGAAGACCAAATGGTGAAGAAAATATATAGCGTGAAAGTTAATATTAAAAGGTGTCAAGGTAGACCGAGACTAACTTTCGAAGACCATGTGAGCAAATTGCTCGAAGAGGGTAGGGTCAAAAGTACTCAGATACCTAGACGTGCATGCATGAAGAAGATAATGAATCTGAAAGAAGCGAAAGAGGTTTGTAAGGATCGTGACACTTGGCGATCTGTTCTCTGGCTACCCGGTCAGGGATTGTGAGTGAAGATAAGTAAGTAAGTAGCATGGCTCTACTACATATATTTGCAAAATACATAGTTATAATTTATAATAAATAGCTGTCAACATTTAATCTGCCTCTGGAACAGAACTAAAATAGCCAAAAAAACAGAGGTAATTTCGTGATTTTTTTTTCTATTGAGAATATAATGTTGGGTTAATATAATAATAATTGGTTATTAAACCAATTATTTCTACTAAGGCCAGCCTTAGTGAAAATAATTGGTGAAGTACATGCTATACACAATTATTAGTATTTGGTACTATGCACCGTTATCTCACTTACTGCCAACATTTAGTCCAAAAGAGATTCGTTTTCAGATCTGAATATATTCTAATTCTCCCAGTGTCTCTAACATTGCATCCTAGTCCTTCTTCTAATCTTAATAAACAACAAGATATGTGATGCCTTTATTCCATACAGCTACTTAGTATGTAGTAGTACTTATACAACTTGGCCAAAACAATTAGGCACATAACAAAAATGTGGTTTCGGCACTTGCCATAGTCAAAATAAAGCAGGTCACAATAAAAACTAAAAGTGGACGAGGCACATATATGATCCCAATATTGCCTTTGTATTAAAATTGACTACTATAACACCAAGAACTGTGTTGCCTAGAACCTTGCTAGTACAAAAGCAATACACACTACATAAATCTTACCTTTTCTTTTCGCCAACTGTTCTTCTATATACTTCATCATTTCTTCATCTTCATCACGCTTATTAGTTTCTGCTGAAAATTGTGTACCAATACCAGTATCGTACGCATCATCAACCTGCTTTACTTTGCCGCTTTTTAAAGCCTGCATGTTTACCATTCCACCGGCTTTTATTTTATAAGGATCTTTACAAACGATCTCCTCTTCTAAGGTAACTTTCTGACCAGTGGCTAAAGCGATTATACTAACACCATTCGGCCGTTCCCGAAGTTTTTGTAACTCTTTCGCTTCTTCTAATTTGGCCAATATTAATTCTTCATCTTCAGAATCATCATCATCTACCTTAATGCGCTGTCGAACATTTCTTTTCTTTTTTGGTATAAATTTGATTTGCTCAACGGCAGAGCTTTCGGTAGAATCCTCCATCCTGTCCTGATATGATTTTTTTCCTGTTCTTGGCTTGAATGTGTGTTTTAAACATAGACTTAGCATCTAAAAGACCAATGAAGCGTGGAAAAGAGACATCATTATCCTTAAGCACACTCCGTGAGAGGGAAAGAGATGCACAACAAAGTACCGTTATGTCAATGTTTTTTCGAGTAAGAGGCCATAGCGTCCCGCTAGCTTGCGTGCGATAGTCTATTTTATGAATTTCTTTCAAAATCTTTAAGAATTAAGGGTAAATAGTGTTTTGAACAGATATGGTATCTTGTTGTGTAAACGATTGTGACGTGACAAGAAGAAATAACCCAAATAAATACACGTTTCACAGGTAATTATGATATATTCATTGGAATATTTAAAACCTTATTGTGTGAAATTACTGCTATTTAATATCTTCAAAACGGTTTTATATTATAGAATATTGCATTTCCTTACTATAATTATATATATTTGTTAGGTACGATTACAATTGGAGAATATTTCATGTAAAATATATAATTGCATGCTTACACTAGAGCTTGACCAAATGGTGACGTCATAAGTTTCCATATCGAGTTTATCAAGTCGATGGTTTCAAAAAGTAATTTGTACTGACGATAATTAATTATTATTATGCGTAGTCTATTTGTGATTACGTGACTTTTTTATTTTACATTCCAAAATTGGCAACTCGTGTCTCGCATGTATATATGCCTGCATTTCTTTAGTTAAAATACTTATTAGAAGTATTAATAATATAAGTAATAATTATGCCCTCCTTTAAGGTTTCCCCGTGGACTTGAGTTACGTGAAAAATGGATACGCATAATAAACAGACCCCAATGGACTCCATATAAAAATTCAACAGTCTGCAGCAAACATTTTGAAGATAAATGTTTCATTCAAAGAAAGTGCCGACGTGTATTAATGAAAGATTCAATACCTACTTTATTTGTACCTGTAAGTATACTTAGAAAATTTATTTATTAATGCCTTATTAATCTATCTATTATATTCATTTCGTTTAGTAGGTACATGAGTGAGGTAAAATATGTTTACATTTATTGCAGATCAAACTGAAACCTAGAAGATTGGCGTCATCATATGTTAATAGAGACATTACTGTTCCATCTAGAGAACTAGAACCGTATGCACACACAACTGCTGGTCATTCTTCAACCCTATTACTTACACCACGAAAAAAGAAACTTATGGAAAAAAACACGCGTTTAAGAAGAAAAATATTAGAAAAGAATAGGGTACATTCTAAATCTATGGTTTTAAAAGTATTTATAAACTAAACCAGTGTTTACAAATCAGGAACAATAAATCATCAGAGACTCCCGTTCAGAACTAAATACCGGTAATACACGGTCTTGTACATACAACTTTATAATTTGTGATACACGGTAATACCATAATACCATACTACCAAACATACAACTTTATAATTTGTGCTACCAAATAGTTAATAGCTAAATACGTAAACCGTAAATACGTAAACATTATTTATTTCTTATAATTTCAAAGCAAGGGGAGCCCATACAGCCTAGTCTGACGTATTTTCTTTTACATTAATTATAAATCTTAGCGTACTTTATAACATAGATAAATAAATATGTAGCAAGCTTGAGTGTTTTTTTTTATTATTTCTTCGCAAGAAGATGCCTTATCTGACGCTCAGTTCACAATATATTGATTTGCTTAACCCAGCAAATAGTTAATGTTGATGGAATCTCGACGCCATTACCAGGCTGGTGCAACTTCCATAGTAAAAATTATATGTACTACTGGGGTCAAAATTTAATGACGGTTATCTCTTCTTTCTGCTTTACATAATATGTCTATTATAATAAATAGTAATAATAATAACCGTAATAAGCGTACCTTATACTCAGAATCACCAAACGGTATTCGCTGAAGGTCATACAGGTTTACGCACCAACCTCGGCACACCCCGATGAGGAGGTGGAGGAAATGTATGAGGATATCTCTAGAGCCATGCATTCCTACAAAACCCAATATACGGTGTTAATGGGAGACTTCAACGCAAAACTAGGCACAAGAGAGAACGGTGAGCTGAAAGTAGGGAAATTTGGAATAGGGCAACGGAACCCAAGGGGCCAGCAGCTGGCCGACTTCATGGAGAAAGAGGGACTCGCGCTCCGTCCGAACGCTCCGACCCCCTCGTGCTCTAATCCAAAATCCCGAAACCTTTCAGCTCGAGTTACAAAACCGTTTTCAGTGCCTAGAAGACTGCAATGAAGTGGACGATATGAATGACAAGCTCGTGGAAACTGTCCATGCGGTCGGAGCTAAGTTCTGCAAGACCCGCCGTAGAAGAACACAAAAACTCTCCTATCACACTCTTAATCTCATGGCTGTTAGACGGGAGATGAAGCTACATTCTTCAACAGACTTGACAGCATACAGGCATCTGAACAGACAGATCTCCAAATGCATGCGGCGGGATTTACGCAACTTCAATACAGCTCGTATTGAAGAAGCGATCGAGCGGAACCAAGGCTCCAAAGTCTTTGCCAGAGATCTGTCTGCCAGAAAGAGCCAACTCTCAAAGCTGAAGACAGAGTGTAGCAGCATCGTTTCCGGGACACCTGAGATTTTGAGTGAGATTGAGAGGTTCTATGGGCAGTTGTTCACGTCATCGTTGGAGCTACACGCAAGTGTGAGTAACGATCCAAGAGCGAGTCTCATCCGACACTATTCCGAAGATATCCCGGACGTCAGTCTGAGCGAGATTAGAATGGCTCTCCAGCACCTTAAAAACGGTGGGGCCCCAGGCGAGGATAGAATTACAGTGGAGCTTCTGAAAGCGGGTGGAAAACCGGTACTTGAAGTCCTTCAGAAGCTCTTTAATTCCGTCCTCCATGGTGGCATTACACCGGAGGCGTGGAGCAGAAGTGCGGTGGTCTTGTTCTTCAAGAAAGGTGACAACGCTCTCTTGAAGAACTATAGATTTAAAAAAAAACAGACCGATTTCCCTTCTGAGCCACGTCTACGTGCTGTTTTCGAGAGTCATTACGAATCGTCTCGCGCGCAAACTTGACGACTTCCAGCCTCCCGAATAAGCCGGTTTCCGAAAGGGCTTTAGCACCATAGACCACATACATACCCTTCGGCAAATTGTACAGAAGTCCGAAGAGTACAATTTGCCACTATGTCTGGCGTATGTAGACTATGAGAAAGCCTTTGATTCCGTCGAAATTTGGGCGGTGCTGCAGTCTCTTCAGCGGTGCCAAGTTGACTGTCGGTATATCGAAGTGTTGAAGTGCTTGTACAGTAGGGCTACGATGGCTATCCGAGTACAGAAGCAGAGTACGAAACCTATCCAATTACAGAGAGGTGTAAGACAGGGTGACGTCATATCCCCGAAACTCTTCACCGCTGCATTGGAAGACGTTTTCAAGCTTCTGGACTGGAAAGGATACGGTATCAACATCAATGGCGAGTACATCACTCACCTTCGATTTGCCGACGATATAGTCCTTATGGCAGAATCGCTGGAGGACCTAAGCACTATGCTCAATGACCTCAATAGTGTTTTCCAACGGATAGGTCTTAAGATGAACATGGACAAAACAAAGATCATGTTTAATGTCCATGTCACACCTATGCCGGTGGTTGTTGGGAACACTAAGCTCGAAGTTGACGAGTATGTTTACCTGGGACAAATAGTCCGACTAGGTAAGTCCAACTTCGACCGAGAGGTCAATCGACGGATTCAACTCGGCTGGGCAGCGTTCGGGAAGCTATGACACATCTTCTCGTCAGACATACCTCAAAACCTTAAAACGAAATTGTACAACCAGTGCGTGTTGCCAGTGATGACTTACGGAACTGAGACGTGGTCCTTCACTGCTTGCCGTATGAGAAAGCTCAAGGTCGCTCAGCGAGCTATGGAGAGGGCTATGCTTGGAGTTTCTCTCCGTGATAAACTTAGGAATGAGGATATCCGCAGTAGAACCAGAGTAACCGACATAGCCCAACGGATTAGTAAGCTGAAGTGGCAGTGGGCCGGCCATATAGCTCGAAGAACCGACAACCGATGGGGAAGAAAGGTTCTCGAGTGGCGGCCTCGTACCGGTAGGCGAAGTGTAGGGCGTCCCCCCACGAGATGGAGTGACGACCTGGTAAGACATGCAGGAAGTCGATGGATGCAGGTAGCTCAGGATCGTGCTTTGTGGCATTCTTTGGGGGAGGCCTATGTTCAGCAGTGGACTTGTGAAGGGCTGTAATGATGATGATGAATAATAATAAAGAGTTTTATTTGTCTCAATTCACACATGGTAGTTAAAACTGTACAAAAAAATTATGACAAACTTAAGGAAAAACATACATAAAAACAATGAGACAAACTGGCCTGTGACTCAGCTATGTGGTGATTTGAGGTCATCGCTGGTATCCTGCCACAGCCAACTTTTAAAAAACACAGTATCTTAACCTAATCTTGGCATTGACGTGAAACAACGTAAAGAAAAGACTGAAATGTATAAACAAATCAAATAGGTTCAAATGTGAAATCAAACAATTACATTTGTACATATTTTATTTATTAAGATTGCTTTTAATTTTGCTAAAGGAGCCGTTGTTAATTTACAGAATTGTTAAAAAATTAAATATGTATTCTAAAACTTTCCAATTAAATGGTATACGAAACGGAAAAAATAAAAACAAGAAAAGGCTATTCGTAGCAATATTTCCCTTAGATGATTAAAGGTATGTGGTAATTTCAAATTTTATTATAATGTGATATTTAACGCGAGTACATTTTTGAACTAGCTATCTACGTAGGACAGGTTTTTATAGTTCACGATTGTGTGCACAAATATAAACACACTATTTCCTAAATCTGATAGTTCGATAGGATGGCAATCCGAAACGAACTATACTTAGAAACTTCAATGTCAATTGTGACTGCTAACATTCTATTTGTCTAATAAAAATGTGATTTTATTTATATTATTTTTTCAGATGCAAGCAAT